CTTCCTTCCTTCCTTCCTTCCTTCCTTCCTTCCTTCCTTCCTTCCTTTTTCTTAACTTCTTAAGGTGAAACAAAGTACAGAAAGTGGTCCCAAATGGAGAAGTAGTAAAAGAATACTTTTTTTTTTGAAATTTATTTTTTAAAGAATGTTAGCATTTAATGAGCCTCCCTGTGTGGCTTCCAGCCACAGGAAAGACACCCTAACATCCTTGATCCCCTCAGCTCTTCTGTTGCAGAGTCTGGTCGTTATTGACAGACTGCTACGGCAGCTTCCATCCCCAGAACTCTGCAGTATCCCAGTCCACCGCCCCGGTGACAGGAGCAGCTCCTGCCCTGGTTTATGGTAGCATTACCAGTGTCCGCTGACTGCTCAGTGTCCACGGTTTATCCAGGTTGCTGGTTCCTCTGGTTCCTCTTAAAGTGGTAATGACTCATACCAGCTTTTCCAGAGTCACCTGGATGATTCTGACCCTGTCATGAGGCATGTCATCAACATCCCCCTTTCCCCTCCTGGGCGCTTCCAGTACTTACCAATGTGGCTCTAGCTGTTGGCTCACATGGTCCCAGAATTTCAGTCTTTATCTCAATCTGAGTGGCATGTTGGCCTAAAGGAAAGAGGAAGACTGGCTTTTTGAGACCAGATCTCATATAGCCCTGACTGGCCTCCAACTGGTTACATAGCTAGGAATGGCCTTGAACAACTCCTGTCACAGCCTCTCAAGTGCTGGGGTTTGGATGTGCAGCATCGTCCAGGGCTCACTAGCTTAAAACCCTTTGTATCGCCAGACCACCAGCAACTGGAGTTGCTGTCTCATAAGTCATGCCTGCTATGTGAACATGCCTAAGCATTTATTAAATTATTAAAAGTTGGGAGAGAGTTTAGCTGGTTAAGAGTGCAAACTGTAGGCTGAAAAGATGGCTCAGTGGTTAAGAGCACTGGCTGCTCTTCCAGAGGACCCGGGTTCAATTCCCAGCATCCACATGGCAGCTCACAGTTGTCTGAAGATCCGGTTGCAGGGGATCTGACACCTTCACACCAATGCACATAAAATAAAGTAAATTATAAAAAGTATTAAAAAAAAAACCCTAGGCGGAGCTCAGACAACCCTGCAGAAGAGGAGGAGGAAGGATTGCAGGAGCCAGAGGGATCAAGAACATCACAAAAAAAAAAAAAAAAAGTGCAAACTGCTCTTGCAGAGGACCCTATTCTTTGTTCCCAGCGCTCACGTGGTACCTTATAACCATCTGAAACTCCCAGTTCCATGGGATCCAGGAATGTACATGGCACACATACATACAGGCAAACACACACACACACACACACACACACACACACACACAATCTTTTTACAAAGTAAATGTTTAAATAAAGGCTGGACATGATGGCCCGTGCCTTTAATCCCAGCACTCGGGAGGCAGAGGCAGGTGGATCTCTGTGAGTTTGAGGCCAGCCTGGTCTACAGAGCAAGTTCCAGGACAGCCAGGGCTACACAGAGAAATTGTTTTAACCCGCACACACTGAAGAAAGAAAGCTGGTATTGGAATCCAAGGCCATGCACAAGTTAAGCAGGTGCCCTACACATGAACTCTATTTCCTCATTACCACAGATAATTGAGATGATGTGGGTTTTGAACATCTGGCTAGAGTGACCAATGAGTGGACCTGCTGGGCACTTATGCACTGGTTTTCTAACAGGATTAAATCCCTTTGTGCTCCTGGCAAAGCCATAGTCTTACATTTCTTGTTGTAACCCTTCCCCTGCCTATCACGTGCAACCTCCTCTGCTGTTTCCCCAGGACACAGTCACTCCGCAGGAAAAGTGACTAAGTGAGCTAAGTGCCTAGGCTCTAGAAGATGCCCTACACTCCAGGAAAAGTTCGCCCTTGCCGCCACCTTAATAGCTTGCCCTTTGCATATCCGACGATGCCACCCATCCCTAGGAAGCAGCATGAGATCTGAGGCTTGTTTTCTATGAGACTGGAAAGAAGCTGCTTCCAGTTCTCACTTGCGTCTCGCTTTTGTGATGTTAGATCAGGGTCCCCTTTACTCCACTGCCATTGTCTGTCAATCTTTTGTTTTGTTTTTTTTTTCTAAGACAATGTCTCATGTAATGCAGCCATGTAATGCATTGTGTAGCCACCAATGGCCTTGGATTCCTTTCTCATCCTCCTGTCTCCACGTCCCAAGTGTTGGGATTGCAAGTATGCACCACCATGTTGGCTTTTCTCTGGTACTGGGGAATCAAACCCAGGGCTTCATGCAAGACAGGCAAGCACTCTGCCAACTGAGCTTCCATCTAGCCCTATACTTTTGTTTCCTTTTCTGACTTTGTACTCTTGAGATACAAATCCCTGGAGACCGAGGGCTACTCAGGAGGCCCCGGATTTCTCTTCAGAGTTAAAAGTGAGGAAAATCCACTACTACTTCCAAAGAGAGGAGGACTTACCATCTGCCAATAGTTCACTCTTTGTGTCTTCAGTAAAACATGTTATCCCTTGAGCCGCCTGGTGACTGGCTCTGAGCTAGAACCCAGAAGATAGCTCTGGGGTCAAGTTAAGGAAAGTAGGTCACAGTCACTGGACAGTGAGGTCACAAAAAGGTTTTATGTGCCCGGGGACATGGTGTGGGAAAGGCAGCGAGGACAGGGGCCTGGGGCCTGGGGAGCCAAGGGGCCTGGAGAGATGAGGGCAGGAGCAGGGAGGGGACAGTCAGGATGGTGAGGAGAAGCCGGAGACAGAAGCTGCAAAAATTGACCAGGCTGTGCAGACAGGAGGAGGGGCTCAGGGTGAGGGGGTGGCAAGGCAAGGGAAGGGCAGGGAGTCGCCTGGCTGCAAGAAATCCGGGGTCAGGTCAAGGACCAAGGCAGGCAAGGGAGGGATGATGGCCGAGGTCCTGGAGAGAGAAGGGATGGCTGGGTTTGCTAACGTAGAGACAGAGTCGGAAGAGCCCCAAGGTGGAGTTTACAGAAACACAACAACAGTTTGACAGCAGAAAAGACAGACAGGTGTGGCCTCCCCAGAACCCCTTTTCTCCACTTTCTCCTCCGGCAGGTGAAGCGCAGCTGCCCCTCAGATGGTTTGGAGGCTGGGAATGAAAAGGAGGGAGGGAACCCTATTTCTGTCCAGCTGTTCCCTCCAGAGTTGGTGAGTCTTTGGGGTTTGGTGAGGATTGTGAATACAGGGCTGAGGGGCAGCCTGTGACTGCCCCACCTCCTCCCTCCTGCTCCTCCGCAGGTGGAGCACATCGCCTCCTTCCTCCCAGTCAAAGATGTTGTCGCCCTAGGCCAAACCTGCCACTACTTCCATGAAGTGTGTGATGCTGAGGGCGTATGGAGACGCATCTGTCGCAGGCTCAGTCCACGCGTCCGTGACCATGGCTGTGGTGCCCGGCCCTGGAAGAGAGCTGCCATTCTTAACTGTACACTTCCCCTCAGTAACTTCTCCTTGCCTTTGTCCTTCCTTATTCTGGGAACTTCCTTTTCTGACAAGTGGCCTGGTGATCTCCGCACCCCCTGACCACCTTTTCTCTAGAAGAAACTTGTTACACTCAAATGTACTCCATGGAGTGTGTCCTCCAGGTTCTCTGGCCACCGCTGGCAGACATCCAGTTCACAGCTCTAATGCCATTCAGCCAGGCCTCCCTGCATGCACCAAGGCTTCCAGATCTTACCCTAGAGAAGCCCCTACTCCCCAGACCTGGAGTTTCTCCCTCTTTTAATCAGAGTTAACTTTTGTCAGCTTTTGCAATGTGTTATGTGTGTGGGTTGCACCAGCTAGTGCAGTCGCATGTGAAAGCCAGAGGTTGACATTGGTTGTCTTCCTCTATCCCTCTCCACCTAATTTTTTTAATATTTATTTTTATTTTATATGTATAGGTGTTTTGCCTGCATGTATATCTATGCACAACATGCATGCAGTGCCTGTGTATGCCAGAAGGGGGCATCAGATCATCTGGACCTGGACTGCCACGTGGATACTGGGAATCAAACCCAGGTCTTCTCTCTGAAAGAGCAGCCAGTGCTCTTAACTACTGAGCCGTCTCTAGCCCTGCCTCATGTTTTTAAACAGTCTCTCACTGAAACCTGGAGCTTGCCATGGCTAGACTGGGTGACCAGCAAGCCCCAGGGATCCTTCTGTCTCTGCCTCCTTCCCCAAACCAGCGCATGCTAGCATTGAAAACATCCATACCTGCTTTTACACGGATGTCAGGGCTCTGGATTCAGGTCCTCATGCTTACACAGCATACACTTTATACATGAAGTCATCTCCCAGCTTTTTGTCACCTTCTGAAAGTCGAGATGAAGTAATTCTTTTCTTTTTCATGGTTGTGTGTGGTGTGTGTGTGTCTATATGTATGCATGTTTGCATACATATAGACATGTGAAGCAGAGTCCCTCAGTCAAGCCCAGAAGTCTCACTAGCTCGCTTGCTCTGAGGATCCCATTTCTAAGGCCAGAATTACAGACAGGCCAAGAAGCCTACCCAGTATTTATGCCTCAACCCTGGTCCTCACGTTTCAAGAACTGAAGCCCTGAACCAACCCCCAGCCAGAGATGAAATGATTCTTTGTTGTGGTGGCTGTCCTATTTACTGTGAGATGGTAGCAACGCCAGCTCCTGCATGATGACAGCCAGTGTCCCTGGGAGACACAACCACCCCAGCTTGAGACAGTCACCCAAATGCTCCACTTCAGAAAGGTGCTACCTAGTGACTTCTGTCACACTTACATAGAGTTTAAGGAAACGGTCACAGCAGAAAAAAGAGGAGATGCCTGGCCTGCCTTGGCCATCCCTTTCCCTCTCCTTTCCGCATCACGTCTGTGTCTGTCCTTAGACTTCCTCAGTGTCTGATACAAGGTGGTACTGAATGCTCCTGAGAAGCACACATGTGGCTCTGGGACAAAGTGGGGCAGATGTTGGGTATAAAGCAAGGTTTCTGTGTCACCCCAGGAAGGAATCCCTAGTCCTGGGGATGAAAAAAGATAAATACCAGGGAGTCTGGGAAAGATCAGTCAAGCTCACCCTAGCTCTGACTCTTAGCACTCCTGTGGCCTCAGCCTTGAAACCATTTCCTTCTGACCCTCAGATACAAAAGGCCTGTACTTCCAGGCATTCGGAGGACGCCGCCGATGTCTCAGCAAGAGTGTGGCCCCCATGCTAGCTCATGGCTATCGCCGCTTCTTACCCACGAAGGACCATGTGTTCATTCTTGACTATGTGGGGACCCTCTTCTTCCTCAAAAATGCTCTGGTATCTTCCACCCTTGGCCAGATCCAGTGGAAGCGGGCCTGCCGCTATGTGGTGTTGTGTCGAGGCGCTAAGGATGTGAGTAGGGGAACTCTGGATGCTGAGAACCCATCTCAGTGGTCCTGAGTGGCCTCTCCCTTAGGGGGCCTAAAAGCAATTCATTTCTCCATCATTTACCTGATTTTTGCTTGTTTTTTGGCGCTGGGAATTGACCCAGGACCTTCTACATGCTAGGCAAAATTCTATCACTGAGTTAGATACCAATCCAAAATCAGCCTCTCATTTCTTAGCCCTGGATCCAATCGTCTCATTTCCCATCCCATGATCCACTTGCTCTAGCCTTAGCCCATTCAGATCTCTAGATCCCAGACAGCCTCATCTTGTTCCACAGTTCGCCTCCGACCCAAGATGTGACACAGTTTACCGTAAATACCTCTACGTCTTGGCCACTCGGGAGCAGCCAGCAGTGGTGGGTACCACTGGCAGCCGGGCCTGTGATTGTGTGGAGGTCTATCTGCAGTCCAGTGGGCAGCGGGTCTTCAAGATGACATTCCACCATTCCATGAGCTTCAAGCAGATTGTGCTGGTCGGCCAGGAGACCCAGCGGGCTCTGCTGCTCCTCACAGGTGTGGCCTACAGGGTAGCGTTTTGCAAATATCTAGCAGATTCTTCAGGATCTGCGCCAGTGGAGAGGAAGAGAGGAGTCTGTTAAGAGAGGGTTCTACCTTCCTCCTGCTCCGGCTCTGAACCCCCAAAGTTCTAGAATTCTGCATAGAATTTCAGATAAAGTTCCTTCTCAGGCTGAGGGTGTGGGTCAATCTACGTGAAGCACCAGTTTCAACTCCCAGCACCATATAAAGTAGGTGTAGTGGTCTATGCCTATACTCCCAGTATTTGGAAGGTAGAGACAGGAGAATCCTGCGTTCAGGGTTATTCCTAAGATACATAGAGAGTTTGAGGCTAGTCTCCATAAGATCCTGTTTGAAAAATAAAACCAGAGTGCAGAGTAGATGGTACAGCGGGTTAAAGACTTGCAACAAGCATGAGGATGTGAGCTTGGATTCCCAGAGATACATAAAGGCCAGATATGGGCATGCAGGCTGGTAATCCTAGCATTCATATGGTGAGATTCAAGGAGAAGACAGGAGATTCTAGCATGGTAGTGATAATGGTGAGGCTATAACTCAAACAAGGGAGTTGGTAAGTACCAACGCCCAAGGCGCACACGCTATAGCATGTGAGCGTCTGGAGAGCACCACTCCAGTGAAAGTCTGATCCCCTCCTAACCTCTGTGCCAGGCATTTCACTTCATATTCCGAGTTGCCTCCTCCCCGTTCTTCCAGTGTCCTCCATAGTTGACTGCACTCCCCTTAAGGTTGAGAGCCTGTGGACTTCTAAATGCCAGGGAGAAACCTAAATGTCCAGGCTTCATTCTTCCCAACACCAAATTAAGAGTCTGCAACATCTAATCACTAGGTTTGTTCTCCACTAGACCTCCCTGTTTTGTTGTAAGGGTTGAATGTAGGGGGCTGGAAGCCATTCTCTCTCTCTCTCTCTCTCTCTCTCTCTCTCTCTCTCTCTCCCCTCTCTCTCTCTCTCTCTTCTTTCTTTCTTTCTTTCTTTCTTTCTTTCTTTCTTTCTTTCTTTCAATTCTTTAAGTCAGGGTTTCTCTGTGTAGTCCTGGCTATCCTGGAACTTGCTCTGTAGACTAGGCTGGCCTCAAACCCAGAGATCTGCCTGACTCTGGGCATGAGCCACCACCTCCTGGCTCTCTTTCTTCTTATTTTATTTTTGTTGTTGAGACAGAGCTTCACTACGTAGGTCAGTCCTGGCTGGCCTGGAACTTATTATGTAGACCACACTGTCCTTTAACTCAAAGATGTCTGCCTGCCTCTGCCTCCCAAGCATGTCACCATACTTTATTTCCCCCTCCCTCGTATATACGTGTGCTTGTGTGTGTGTGTTTGTGTGTGTACGCATGCGTGTGGCATGCACATGTGGAGGTCAACTTTCAGGAGTCACTTTCTCTTCCTAGCACGGTTTCAGCAGTTAGACTCAGGCTGTCAGGCTCACACAACATGTGCTTTTACCCACGGAACCATCTCATTGGGCCCCTCCCCTTCTCCCTGTGGTTCTAGAGCAGTGACTGTTTCTGTTGAGTGTCCCATGGGTGTTAATCTGGGTATTGGCGAATCGCTTCCTCTGTGGAATTCCATGCCTCCCTTCCTATCCCCAGAGGAAGGGAAGATCTACTCCTTGGTAGTGAATGAGACCCAGCTGGACCAGCCACGCTCCTACACGGTACAGTTGGCCCTCAGGAAGGTGTCTCGATGCCTGCCTCACCTTCGTGTGGCCTGCATGGCTTCCAACCAGAGCAGCACTCTCTATATCACGGGTAAGAAACACTCCCATGGTGAGGGAGATGGCTCCATGGGTACAAGTGCTGGTCATCCAAGGCTGAGGATAGGGTCAAGTCCCCAGAGCCCACACAGAGGTGGGCCCAGTAGCATGTCTGCAGTCCCAAAGGCAGAGAAGGCAATTCCCTGCACACTGGGCCAGCCAGTCTGGCATCAAAACAGCAAGAGACCCTACCTCAAACAAGACGGAAGGCACAGACCAACACCTGAGGTTGCCCTCTGACTTTGATATATATGCTGTGGTACATACATGCCAATACCTATACACATACATTACATATCACACACACACACACACACACAGACACTGAAAAATTAAAAAAAAGAAAAAACTAAATTTCTCTCTCTCTCAAGACCGCAATCTTGGGCAGATCCCTCCACACACTGACACTGCTTACGCATGCTGGTGAATATGGCTGGTGTGTTGATTGTATGAGACTCCTTGCAGTCTCTAGAGGGGTCTTATCCCTTGGAAATGGGTGCCCAAAGCTGCTGAGCTGAGGGCTCCCGACCCCCCAGACCAGGGGGGAGTGTATTTTGAGGTGCATACCCCAGGGGTGTATCGTGATCTCTTTGGGACCCTTCAAGCCTTTGACCCTCTGGACCACCAGATGCCGCTTGCTCTCTCCCTGCCAGCCAAGGTAGGATGGTGGTGCGGAGGATGGCGGGCAGTTAGCGTGGTGCGGAGCAGAGGGCTGGGCTCTGCGGGTTGGAGGGATAGATCTGGGTGGGACAGAGGGATTCGGGGAGAGGGCAGATGGGATCAGTCGGGGGCGGTCCTGGAGCTGTGTTTCCTGGGGACAATGTGCTCCCATTGCTCTTGCTGTCCTAACCTCCCTAGGTCCTATTCTGTGCTCTTGGCTACAACCATCTTGGCCTGGTGGATGAGTTTGGCCGGATCTTTATGCAGGGAAATAACAGATATGGGCAGTTGGGAACAGGAGACAAAATGGACCGAGGGGAACCCACACAGGTGAGATTGTTTCCTGGCAACGCTCATCCAGTCTCCTAACCCAGCACCTAGCTACTTTTCCATAGTTCCTAGAGAGCACTTTCTCCTCCCCTAGGCAAGGCTAAGCCCTTCATATATAATGCCTGTGCTGCCGCTGCAGGTCTTCCCCAGGGCTGGTCACAGAAGGTTTGTTCTGTGCAGTGCATACTGTGTGTGCAGAAGGGATTCAGTGATGGTGTGGGCTGGAGACTTGAATGTGCTGAAGTCCTAGAAAAGGAGATACAGCCTGAGAAGAGGGCTTCAGAGAGCAAAATGCTTGTCATGTGAGCATGAAGACACACAGACACACACACACACACACACACACACACACACAAAGACTGCTTAGCTGGGCGGTGGTGGTACATGCCTTTAATCCCAGCACTTGGGAGGCAGAGGCGGATCTCTGTGAGTTTGAGGCCAGCCTGGTCTACAAGAGCTAGTTCCAGGACAGGCTCCAAAGCTACAGAGAAACCCTGTCTCAAAAAAAAAAAAACAAAAAAACCAAAGCAAAAAAAAAAAAAAAAAAAAAGACTGGCCAGATGGACTTGATGTATCCCAGAAGAGCATTTGCCTAGCATGCACAAGATCCTAAATTGAATCCCTAGTAGACAAAAAAAAAAGTAGAACAGGAAGAGGAGGAGGCAGAATAGAGCAAGTTCCAGGCCAGCCAGGGCTACACAGAGAAACCACACACACACAAAACAAAAACAAACCAACCAGAGACTGAGAGGAAGATGTAGGCAGTTATCTATCCATCACTGTCACAGAGGAATGAAAAGAGATGTCCTTGAGTTGGTAGAATGCTTGCCTAGCATGCGTGGGATCTGAGTTTCATCCCAGCATTTCACATGTTTGGAAAGAAGGAGGATCAGAAATTGAAGTTCAGGGCTGGAGAGATGGTTCGGTGAGTAAGAGCACTGGCTGTTCTTCCAGAGGACCCAGGTTCAATTCCCAGCACCCACATAGCAGTTCACACTTGTCTGTAACTCCAGTTCTAAGGGATCTGATACCCTCACGCAGATAAACATGTAGTTAAAACACCAATGCACGTAAAATATATAAATCTTTTAAAAGTAAGTTGAAGATCCTTCTCAGCTGCACAGTGAGTTCTAGGCAAGCTTAAGTACACGTATCCTGTCTCAGTTACTGTTCTATTGCTGTGAAGAGACACCATGACTAATACAACTTTTTGTGGTTGTTGTTGTTTTTAGTTTAGTCAAGACAAGGTTTCTCTATGTAGCTGGGGACTATCCTGAAACTTGCTCTGTAAACCAGCCTGGCCTCGAACTCAGAGATCCATCTGTCTCTGCCTCCCAAGTGATGGGATTAAAGGCATGAACCACCACCACCCAGACCAAGGCAACTCTTAAACAAGAACGTGTTTAATTGGGAGCTTGCTTACAGTTTTAGAGCATTAGTCCTTGACCATCGTGGTGGGAAGCAAACAGGCATGGTGCTGGAGCAGCAGCTGAGAGCTTTACATCTTGATTCTCAGGCAGCAGGCAGAGAGAGAGAGACAGAGACAGAGACAGAGGGAGGAGAGAATAGGCCTGGCATGGACTTTTGAACCTCAAAACCCACCCTCAGCAACACACTTCCTCTAAGGCCACCCTTTTAATCCTTTAATCCTTCTCAAACAGTCCCACTCCCTGGAGACCGGGCATTCAGATTATAAACCTGTGGAGGCCATTCTCATTTAAACCACCACATGAGCCTTCCCAAAATAAACAGACCTGGAAATGGCTCAGCACTTGATACCAAGTCCGTTGATCTGAGTTCAGTTCCCGGGACCCACAGGGTGGACCGAGAGAATGTACAGATCTCAGAACTGACAGGTGACCTTTCCACGAGTGCTGTGCACACTGCATCACAAACAAACAAACAAACACAATAAAAAAACCTAACAAACAAAACATAGTTTTTTGAGACAAACTCTCACCATGTAGCCTAGATTGAACTGGAACTCACTTTAACCCTCCTGCTTTCCTGTGCCTGGCTAACTTTTTAATTGTGACTTGTTGGCTTTTTGTAATTAAAGATTTCTTTCTTTATTTTTTTTTTACTGTGTGTGTTTTGCACGTGCAAGAATGCACATGTGTGTCCATACAAACATGTGTGCAGGTACCCAGGGAAGCCAGAAGAGGGCATCAGGTCTTGTCCTTAAGGAAGAGCATATTTCATGAGGAGCAAGACACAAAGTTTTTACCAAGGACCAGAACCCATGTAGTCAGTGTTTGGGGGCTCTGTGGGCACAGGACAGGACAGAGAGCTGCCAGTTTGTAGAGCAGGGCAGATGACCGGGAACAGGACCCTCTTTTCTTCCAGCGCCAAGACAGCAGTCTGCCCCAAGCCTTCCAGTCAACCTTCCTACCTTAAAGCCTCTGGCCATGCTGTCTGTCTGTCTGTCCTCAGGTTCATTATCTACGCCGTCCCATTGCCCTGTGGTGTGGCCTCAACCATTCCTTGGTGCTGAGTCAGACCTCGGATTTCAGCAAGGAGCTGCTGGGGTGCGGCTGTGGGGCTGGAGGCCGCCTTCCTGGCTGGCCTAAGGGGAGCGCCTCCTTTGTCAAGCTGCATATCAAGGTCAGAGCAGAGTCAGGCCAGCGAATGGATGGGGAGGGCAGAGCAATAGAGCCAGGTGGCCCTCAGGACCATAGTCAGGTCTTACCTGCCTTCTCTCAGAAAGTCTTGAAAACTGGTTGGGAAGGGGCTGTGCCACAATGCGCCCGTGGAGGGCAGAGGACAGCTGGTGAAAGTCAGGCAAGGGAAGCCAACTCACCGGGTTCCTTTTTAAGGAACTGTGTAGCCCAGGCCTGGCTTAAACTCTAGACTTTCCTGGCTCTCCTGTGTCACCCAACTTACACCTGGGACCCCTCAAGGGACCCATCGGTTTTATTTCCCCTGTACCATGAAATCTCCCTTTCTTGAGCCACACAGTGCTCCCTGCTCTCTCCTTTGCTGCCCCTGCTGGTTTTACCCAAGTTCTCACGGTCCTGGAACATAGCAAGCTCACTTAATGGTTCAGGGCCTGTCTGAGAGGGATCAACATAACATCAGGCTTAGCCAGCTTCCTGGAAGGCCCTGGCAGGGTTAAGCCTGCCTCAGCCCCACCCCTTCTCTCCTCTAAGGTCCCCTTGTGTGCCTGCTCCCTCTGCTCCACCAGAGAGTGCCTCTATATGCTGTCCAGCCACGACATCGAACAATGCCCAGTCTATCGAGACCTGCCAGCCAGCAGGGTAGGGGGAAGCCCTGAACCTAGCCAGGGGACCGGAGCCTTCCAAGACCCTAGGGGGACAGCCCAGGCCTGTGAGGAGTACCTCAGCCAGATCCACAGTTGCCTCACGTTGCAGGACCGAATGGCGAAGATGAAGGAGATTGTGGGCTGGATGCCTTTGATGGCTGCCCAGAAAGATTTCTTCTGGGAGGCACTGGACATGCTGCAGAGGGCTGCTAGTGGGAGTGGCCCAGGCACCTCAAACCCTGAGAGCTGACCCCCTCCTCCTAGCTTGTATTCCTGAAGGAAATCAGGCCCTGGGCTAGGGGCTGAGGAGAGATGGAGTGGCAAACAACATTGTGTATACACTGGGGTGGGGGGGGGGGGCGAGCTGTGGAGAGCAGTGCTGGATATGCCAGGGTAGCGTAGAGTGGTAGGGTAGGGAAATATTTTTTAAATATTTAGGGGGCTACCCAGGAGGGGCCCCCAACCTTACTATCATGGACAAGAAATTTGATGGACAATAGAATAAAAGGCTAAAGGAAGGCCTCTTTTGAAACCCTGGGGCCTTATGGGAGACAAGGGATGGAGGGGGCCCTGGCCGGTGAGGGTGGGAAGACAGAAGGAGCCCAACCTGTTGGTTTACTGAGAAGTTTCAGCACCACAGCTCACTCCAGAAAGTTCACTCTCCTGTGGGATAACCCAGTCAACAAACCTTACTTCCCCAGTGTGGGGCCTGTGCTGGGTCTGGAACCTTAACTGGAATCCACTCACTTTGTGACAGAGTTTCACTGTGTGGCCCAGGCTGACCTCTTTAATCATCCTGACTCCATCTGCAGAGTGCTAGGATTACAGGTGTGCTGTCATCATGCCTGGATCAGCCCAGCAGTCCAGTCTTCTGGAAGTGCCATGCCCTAGCCCCGAGTCCCGTGAAGTCAGCTCCCGTTCTCTTCTCTTCCCGTTGGTTTCCAGTGTGGGCCAATATTATACAGGCCACACATTTCTGCATTGTGTTGGCAGCCAGGCTCTCAAGCCACAGTCGCACCTGAGGTCACAATAGCATGAACAGACTGTCTCCGGGGGCAGGATAGCTAATGTGGTTTTGCTCCCTTCTTTGTAATTATGGGGATCGCTGGGAAGAGGTGTTAATCCAAGCTGGTGACTTTAGTCCTGCTACTAATGATGCTAATAAATGCTAATGAACCTCCCCCTCAGTTTACCTTTGGAGATAAAAGCTGTTTTGAGAATAAACGCGGGTGATCTTCAGGATTTGGATGGACCCTGAGACTCCCTTCCGATATTGTTGTGTGAACTGTGTCTCAATTATTCCCACGCCTCCACACCAGTCCAGAGAGATAATTTATGTTGGGGTTAGGCCCCGACATTCCAAGAGCAATCTTTCCTTTCTGTTCCCGTACCTTCTGCTCCTTCCCCTTTTTGCCCAGGGAAAGGGATACTCCATGCCTCCCTTAACCCTTCTCCAGTACCTTAAAATAGTTGGAAGAGAAAATAAGGAGTCAGAACTTTCCTTCCTTGGCCTGATTAGCCCAGTGTTAAAGGGAAAGTCATAAGCAGGTGCAGAAGAGCCTGGGTAAAGGGTGCAGACCTGTAATCCCAGCACTTGGGAAGCTGAGGTAGGAGGATTGAAAGTCCTGGCTAGCCAGGACTTCATGGAAGACGGTCTTAAGCAACAACAAAAACCACCCAGAAACGTGTAGTGGGACAGTGAATGGCCAAGAGACTCAAGAAGGACATCCTCTCTGGATGCTGAGAAAGCAACAGGTGAAGTGGTCCAGTCTGCCTGAAAGTCTCCAGGAACGACGAGGTTCTCAGACAGAGTGGAGTTGCAGATGACATCACTTGATGGAGATATATTCTATCTGCCCCTTGTTGCTCCCAGCATCCCTTAGTCCATCAATACATGTCCAAGACCTAGAGAGGCCCCTGCAGGGACTCACCACTGTCCCAGCTGTCTCTCTGTCCCGCCTCCCCTGCCGCCCGCCCAGTTGGCCAGTCCCCACGCCCACACACCCAGGGCTGCCTCATCTGGTACTGATTATCCTGCTGCTGCTGCTGCTGCTGCTGCTGGTGTTGGTGCTGCTGCTGCTGCTGCTGCTGTTGCTGCTGCTGAACTCAGCTGCTGCTTCCAGTACTTCCCCCTACACAATGGTGCCTGCTGCCCTAACCTTCTTCCTGGGGCCATTCCTTGTGGCCTGGGTACTGCCCCTTGCCCGAGGTCAGACCCCCAACTACACCAGGTAGGTTTCATGTCTTTCAGATGGCTTCCAGAGGGAGCTGCAGAATGCTTGTGACTTCCTGGGAGGGCTGCGCCTGTGTGTCTTGCGAGCTCTTCTGCCAGCAACCCCTTCACGGCTCATCTTCCTCTAAGATTCCTTGGTCTCCCTGTCTGCTGCAAAGCCATGCTCATGGTCTGCAGACTGCCACTGTTCCCAGTCCTTCAATACAACCCTCCTGTCCTAAATCTCCCTTTCCACCCAGAGCCATGCCTCTCCACGGAGTTTGAACCCAGAAAGCCAAGACCTTGAACTTCTTTTAGCTGACATTCAGGAAATGAGACTGGGGGAAGGGCAGCAAGCAGAAAGTCAGATACTGGTCCTTAGCTGGAACCGGAGCAGGGTGAAGGTGGGAGCCCCTAACTGTATGTCCACTGGTGCTCCCCTCATCTCTCTGCCCCCCTCCCCCCATGGCCTCATGGCTTGTCACATCTGGAAGTAGTTAGGCGCGGCTCCTGTCCTTGACTGCCAGGCAGGGCAAGGAGGGGGTTGAGAAAGCAAGGGGGGGGGGCTGAGGAGGATTCCGGGAATTCCTGTCGGCGTGGGGGTGGAGCCTCTAGGGGCTGGAGAGATGGCCCCTTTGCCTAGCCCCACTTCCCCTGGACCTTGGGCAGGAGTCCCTGTCCCACAGGATGGGGCTTTTCCTGCACCATCCTCCTGTATTGCCTGGGGCTTCATATTCTCGTGAACTGTTTCTCTAATGGTTCTCCCTGACGCCTCTTCTGTCCTCCAGACCTGTGTTCCTGTGTGGAGGGGACGTGACGGGGGAGTCGGGTTACGTGGCAAGTGAGGGTTTCCCCAACCTCTACCCCCCAAATAAGAAGTGCATCTGGACAATAACGGTGAGAAGGTCCCTCCGGCCATCACTGCCTTTCATCAGTCTCCCTGGCACAACCCTGACAGCTCGGGATACCCTCCCCACCACCAGGCATCACCTCAGTCTGGGAAACCCAAGGGTGTCAGGCTCCACAGTAACAGTCTCTGACATATCCTGACCTTCCCACCCCTTTGTCCTCCCCCACTACCGGAAATGGAACCCTCGGATTTCTGCACGTTAGGTCAGAACTTTACCAATAAGGTACATCCCAGCCATTGATTCATTTAGGTTTTTTTTTTTCTTTTCAAAATGGCTTGTTCCACTAGTTTAATCACATATTTTTTTAAACATCTATTTATTTATTATATATACACTTGCCAAGAGACGGTGCCAGATATCATTACAGATGGTTGTGAGCCACCACGTGCTTTCTGGGAATTGAACTCAGGACCTCTGGAAGAGCAGTCAGTACTCTTAACCTCTGAGTCATCTCTCCAGCCCTCATTTAGGCTTTTGGTTTGTTTGTTTTCTCGTTGTGTTTGTGTGTGTGTGTTGTGCATGCGTGTGCATACTCATGCAGGTGTAGAGAGGTCAGAGTGGTATGTGGGGTGTTCTAGAGCTCCACTGCTCTCCGTCTTATTTCCCTGAGACAGTCTAAATCTAGAGCTAGTCTGAAGGTCAGAAAGCCCCAGTGGCCCTGCTGTCTCTGCCCCCCACAGGGCTAGGGTCCCAGGCCTAGTGTGGAGCCTTTTAAATGTGGCCTTTTATATGGGTTCTGGGAATTCGAACTTGAGCAAGCACTTTTACCCACTGAGCCATCTCCCTAAACCCCTTCTCCTTTTATTTTTGAGACAGGGTCTTTGTAAATTACGGGTCTTGCATTTATGATCCCCCTGCCTTGGTTTCCCAAAGAGCTGGAATCATGGACATGCACTCATGGTGCTGAACCTTAATTCTTTGTTTTTGGAGTCAAGGTCTCATTATGTAAATTTTGAGGCAGTTCTCAAATTCAGCACGGTAAATCCTGGGATTACAAGTGTGGGCTGCTATAACTAGCTTAAACCTTTGGTTTTTTGTTTGTTTGTTTTTTAGTTGTTTGGTTTGGTTTTTGTTGTTTTTTAATGGTAGCAAATGCTGAATCTCTACTCCTAATTTGCTCCTGTGCTCTCCCTTCAGAGACCACAAGCTGGGAGTAGCGCCCAGGTCCTCTGTGTTGCACTGGCCTTTCCTGCTACCGCTATTACTCTAAAAGTACCTGGGGGAGGGGGTGATATCCACTGTTAGGGTTGTTTGGGACCTGATTTTGGGCGGTCCCCCATTACTCTTCTGTCAGGTGCCTGAGGGTCAGACTGTGTCCCTGTCCTTTCGAGTCTTTGATATGGAGCTCCACCCTTCCTGCCGCTATGATGCTCTGGAGGTCTTTGCTGGATCTGGGACCTCAGGCCAACGACTGGGACGCTTCTGTGGCACCTTCCGGCCTGCACCTGTAGTTGCACCTGGCAATCAGGTGACTTTAAGGATGACAACGGACGAGGGCACTGGGGGACGAGGCTTCCTGCTCTGGTACAGCGGTCGGGCCACCTCAGGCTCTGGTGAGCATCCTTACCTCCTCTTTCCCCTCTCTTGGCCCCACCCCGGTTCAGGTCCCCACCCCTGCCCTAACCTCGACCCTCCCCAGATTATTCCCAAGAGTTAGGGCCGCCATTACTCCCTTTCTTCTCACTAACCGCCCCTTCAGTCCCTCCTCCTGGTCTTCTCTCCCCCTCCCGCTCCTACCTACCCCTCTTCCAGGGCCTCCCCCAGGTGCGAGGCGGAAATGGGTCATGGACCCGCGGGTGGAATGGGCGGCCTGGGGTTACTGGGACGGTGAGTAACTGCCCGCCCCCCTCCGCAATCGGGCTCCTCTGACAGGAGTAAGGGGGCACCCTGAAGCTGGGGGACTAGGATTCCCTCATCTGGAGCCCCCTATACCCAGTTCTGGGATCCCGATTGCGGTCCCATCACCCCCTCCCGGCAGCACAAGTCTCTCTGGAATGTTTCGGGCAGAGACCTCGTCAGAGGGGAGGGCACCCTCCCAACGTGAGAGCTCTCTAGCCTGCTTTAGAGGATTCTTCTGCTAGGCCGGGATGGAGAGATGGGATCTCCTAGGGGAAGAGGCGTGGTGTGGCGGCGGGTTGGGGAGGGGGCAGAAGGGATCCATTCAATCCTTTCCTCTCTGTTGGGTGCCCCAGCCTCCGTCTTCCCAGGTGTTTGTTGACCCGCCCCTTCTGCTGTTCCCCTTCTTGTCCCCTCATTTTGAGATCCAGACTTTCTAGCTGCCTGGAAAGCTCCCAGTCTAGAGCTTTCTACTCTAGCTGACCGAGGCTCTCCACCGCCCCCCACCCGGTCCCTCTCTCCCCTTCTCAGAGCACCAGTTTTGCGGGGGGCGGATGGAGAAGGCGCAGGGAACCCTGACCACGCCCAACTGGCCTGAGTCGGATTACCCCCCAGGCATCAGCTGTTCCTGGCACATCATTGCACCCTCAGACCAGGTACTGACCTCTTGCCTAGGCTGCCCAGCAGGCACCCAGGCAGCATCCTTAAAGCAGACAGCCAGCGGCATTGTATCAAACGTCTGTGTCCTGATCCCTGAGCTTGCCCTGGTAGAGAGCAAAACCTGACCCAGACCAGCTAACAATGCAAGCAAAAAAGAAGTGCAACTACTGGCCTTAGGGGAGGGAAGTACTGGGTCCTGAGGAAGTGTGTGTGTGTGTGTGTGTGTGTGTGTGTGTGTGTGTGTGTAACTCAATGGGGTGGAGTTCTGTTCATTATGAGTGAGCCTAGATGCACTTGACTTTGCACACCAGGGCAAAGGATGCTCCCTGTATGGTATAGGTGTGTGTGTGTGTGTGTGTGTGTGTGTGAGAGAGAGAGAGAGAGAGAGAGAGAGAGAGAGACCCTTAAGCTAGCAGTGTAAGAACACTGAGGAGGGAACAAGGGGACTGACTTGTGCTACTGCCAAGTACTCCCTGGGCTGGAGAGGTGCAGGGAACTATTCGGTCCGCCTTGACCTGTCCTGCTACGCAGCCAATGCCTCTCCCAGGTGATCCTGCTAACCTTTGGGAAGTTCGATGTGGAGCCTGACACGTACTGCCGCTATGACTCCGTCAGTGTGTTCAGCGGGGCTGTGAGCGATGACTCGAAGAGGCTGG